ATTTTTAATTGTAGAATTAAAGATTTAAAAATCATCAAAGTTAAAATTTATAATAAAAACATAGCAAGTGAACTCAAACTTTTGGAAGCAACTGCATGTTTTAATTTATATTTAATTAATATTTAAAAAATAAAGAACAAATAGAATATTTTTATTTTTGTATATAATTTACAAAAAAAAAATACGATGTTACTTTATAACTTATAATTTTAGTTTATTTAATTTTATTAGCAATTTCAATATAGTAAACATCATAATATTTCGGTTAAGATTTTTTGTAAAATGCTAATATGTTAAGATGAATGCAGTATATAGTTATATGGATAAGGTTTTTAAGTTGATTAATAAACTGTTATGGCATATTAAAATAATACCAATAATGAACATTTAATTACATGCAGTATATTTAAAAAAAAAAAAATTATAACACATTAGATTATTTTAGTAAGCATACCTTCTTTTTATATTGCCACAAAAAGAATTTATTGTACAATTCATAAATTCAAACAGAAAAAGAACGCGATCAATTGGTATCTAACGTTTTCGGTTGATAATTTTCATTCTTTAAGTTCACTTTACATTTGATCAATACGTTTATAAAAATAACGCACTATACATCCGATTACAAAAAGAAGGATGGTATAATAAAATATGACCCTCCGAAAAGCATCAAATATAGCCCCGGGAAGTTTGAGAAGTTTTTTAATATAAGCACGCCATTTGTTCATCCACTCAAAACGCTTCGCTTCTTCATAAAGGTCGCCGTCTTCGCCAAACTCTAATGACGTACCAATCTCCATTGCTTCTTTGTCATTTAAAATATCGCCATCATGACTCAAACTAATTCTCTTCTCGTCATTCCCGAACCCTTTTTTATTGTTGGCCAGGAGGAGAAGTGGAGTACGAGATATTACTCTGAGCGCCTGTTGCATCAGAATGACTTCGATTCCGAAGAAAATTCATGGTGGTCTTATAAATTGATCTTCCTGTCCAATAGGTGAAGCGAACAGTGGTTGTTAAACAGGTTATCAACGCCGCACCCAGCAAAGATAAAAATATAGTTGGGGCAAGCACCAGGAGACCAACACTTATTGTAAGGCCGTTTACCGCAGCGTAAGCGACGGTACCTTGATATTTGAAACAGGTCACGTGGTTAAATACGCGTAGAACCACCTCACAACGGTAACGAGTACAGCTTTGGTTAATACTTGCAAACAATAAATGTGACAACGAGAGATCCTATCGCCCATAGTAGGAAGAGCGCGAAAGGAATCATGGACAGCGACGCAAAAGCTATTGAAAAATCCTTGAGAAAAGTGTATCGGGTGGCCACCTCGTAAGCAGAATTCCAAGCATATTGCACAAAATAAGGCATTCGGTTATAAACAGCGTTGTTAACATTTTTCAGGATTTGGTATAAGGAGGAGGATTTGACGGAAGTGTCGTCGTTTCTGAGCATCAACCTTGCTGTTTCAGACATTTCAAGAATTTGCGAAAGAATAAAATTGCGTGAACAAACGACTGAATTATGTTTTATATTAAATTTTCATGGAAAAAAAAAAAAGGAATGACTGATATGATTTCATCGGTTGGCAGATGAAACCAGAGTAATTATGATATATTAATGTTAGCCAACATCCACTTCAACATCGTAACAAGAAATTCTAATAAACATTTACAAATTATTGCGGATATTTCAGAAATATGTATCACGGATATGTTTTTGTTGGTATTCTCCCTTCTATTTAAGGATAAATGTATGCCGATTTCTATTTCCCATTATTCACCCGCAGAATAATCAACCTCACCACTCTGCAAAACATCGGAAGTTATTGATTCATGGAAGGAGCAGACGATGACAAAGAGGTGAACTTGATTGATTTTTCCGGTAATGCGAGAATTTCCTTCTTTTTTTTTTTTTTTTAAAAAAAAAAAAAGTGCAAATGAATTAGTTTAGAAGTGGGTTTAATTTAATTCTTTTCGAATTCGAAGAATCGTTGCCGACACCTTCCTTTTCACGAAAACCTCGAGAGTCCAATTCTCCACTGACCTCTGCAACCTCCTATAATTTCAAAGGGAGAATTCAAAATGAAGCCAAAAGGAAAATGCTTATCAAGATTGATATCAATAAGATTATAGTTGATACAAAGGAAAAGAAAGAGTACACGCTCTCTTGTTATTCACGTAAAGATGCGATCGCATTATTAGTCAAATATCAAAGGAGCGAAATATCATTGTGCATTTTTGGCTTCAAAAATGAGATGGTCATTCCATTTGATCAAATAAGAGGAATTAAAGTGAGCGAGTCGAATGTTTTGGAAATTAATCTGGCTCATGGTTTTCAAAGGAAGGTAGACATCATCCCATCCTTTTAATAACTTCTTTCCTTTTTTTTTACTTTCCACCTTTTCTTTACTTTTACTTTTTCTTTCTTTTCATTCTCTTTTTAGTATTATGTTCATTTAGATGGATTTCCATATAATGCGGCCTCAAAGAAAACGCATAACGACCCTACGAAGGGAATATTCACTCGTGCCACCGGATTTAAAATGCATCCCAAAGAAGGTGTACACGAGAATACAATTGCAGTGGTCGAGGCTGGACTAAACAGCTTGTGTTTCACAAACATGGGAAGGGAGGATAGTAAATTTTTGGTGAATTACTTTCCCACGTCAGGAATACGTAATAGCGAACGATTGATCGTCGAAACATAACTAATCGTTTTCGATGTTCAAATAAACACAGTTCGACGAGCAAGAAATTCCAGAAGTAGCACTTGCAGAAGGAGAGGTAATTTATACTATCTTTGTTACCCACACCGTGTGTCGCGCGGCGTTCAAATTTTATTATGAAAACATAACATAGATTGGATTCATATGCACATTTCGCGGGACGACATTACCGTTACCATTTCCTCATGATGGAACATTCAACGAATTCCTAGATTTGATGAGAAATAAGTTTGATCATTCCCCTGAATGGGTGGAATACTTTGACCCGATGATCGAAAAGAGGATCACGGTAGTTGATGATCAAGATTGGAGGCTCGCCAAATCTATTAATATCAGGATGAAAAGACCTAAAAGTGCTTTTATCAAGATATATGTGTCATGATATATCGCATTTGAGTTTATCTGTAAAAACAAAGTTTCATTAAATCATTTAAGACACAATATGTCGCGAGTTCTTAATCACCGCACTGTACATGATCCGTTCAATCACCAGGTGACAAAAAAGAACGCAACGCGAATATTGCCCATCCATCATTCGTAAAGAAAGTAGGTCAACCAAAGGAGTAAAGGAATATAACTAATCTTACTTTTTTTTCTTAAAAGTAACTTTTTGAGAAAATTTCAAAGACCTCACTCATTAGGCATGCGAAATTTCGGTTGCTCATGATGATTCAAGTGCAACAGAGCTATTAAAATATTTTCAAATGTGGCTTGCAACTTTATGTCAAGACATGTTCCTTTGAGGCGAGAAAGATGACAATGTTCCTTCTTATGTAGATTCGTTTGTTAAAAGTAACCGATAAGATTATTGAACTCGATCGTTAAAAACACGATTCTCATTTGTTTTCTACGTACAGTATGAACGCCTATCCTGTGATTATCCGAGGCGGAAACTTTATGAATTTAGCTCGATCTCGACTTCTTACCTTTTTTTATTTATTCGCGAGTGAAAGCATTTCGTGGGAATAAAGGAGAAGAAAAGAGAGAGAAAGGAAGAGACACCGCACAGAGCAATGAATATATTGCATCAATCAAATTTCCATAGAAGATATGGATCGAGAATTTCGGAAAATATGTTCCGCGACATACCAGCCGAAAGGAACAAATGGATGATAAAACGACACAGAATAGATTAATGCTTCCTTTATTAGTTTGGGGAATGAGAAATGGATGAAAACAACGTTTTTACCTATTCTTACACCAACTCAGATGATGGTCGGAAAGTGAGGGGCGCGCGAGTTCACATCGGACATGCTGTCGAACCTGTTTCGAGTTTTCATGTGACCTCCACAAAGGCTTAGTGACACTACAGATCAATGATATATAAAAGGCAAAACGTATTTTCTTGTTGCTCAACTCACTCCCGAACCTCGGGCTTTCCTCACTTCAATATGGATTTTCCCACTGTATTTATGCAGGTTGAAGAAGCTTGTGCTGACATGCAGGTGATTTTTGTGATCCAATAGTTAGTTGGCATCATGCGGGAAGATAGGATTTCTTTAAAATCCAATAACTAAGCTATAGAACGCATGCTGCGGTGTGAGAATTCGCGTATAGATGGTGTAAACTCACTGGTATATTTACCGTGACCATTTGAGAAACAATTTGGGTGTATTTTCGTGGAGTGATTCTTGGAATTGACCATTTTTGACGTTGTTTGATACCTTATTAAATAAAGGTTCCGGCCACTCGCCTTGCTGGGGAACAAGTCATGTTGAGCTTTAAGCAAATGTCTGGAAACCTAGAAGCGTGTCAATATGTATTAGGTGAGAATCCCCCGAATGAACTGTTTGAACACATGATTAAGGATGAATCAGATCGTGGATTAACATTTCCTTTAACTGTCTCTCTTTTCAAAAAACCAAAAAACGGGAAAATTTTTCTTTTTTTTTTTCCTTCCCTTTCAGAACACACGAAATCACATTACGTACAATTTCACATGGCATTGGCAGTGAGGGAATCGGTGGTTCGTGACTACGCATTGTATTCGAATGACTATTTATTAAATTTGAGGAATTGGTTGCTCAATTATTGCTTACAACATACCGAGTGCGTATCTCACCTTTTACGTATTTACCTTGGACGTTCTCTTAAAAAAAAAAAAAAAAACTCACTCATTTACTCGAAATGACTTCGTAGGATGGTGTCGTATGTTCAGAATCAGTTACTTCATACGGTTTCGGTAATGATTAAACGCGGTCTCGAAGATTATCATGATGGTGAGAAACATTCAATTTTGACAAATATCCAGACCCTCGTATCGGCAGGCGGATACAGCGTGAGTGCAAGATTTCATTATCAACCATCACAAATCTGATCACGTCGATTTCAAGTTCATCGAGGAAACTTATGTTTGCTCCCTTAGCAACTAGTTGGTATGGGATTGGCTAATGCGCTGGTTGATGAATTTTCTTCATCCAAGGCGAGCAATGTCGGGCTTCCCTGGGATTTTCATAAGAAGTGCAAAGATTTCTTTGAAGTAAGATTCGTTAAATGTTATCGGTCGTCATTTATGATGGTGACTCTTTTGAGATGCATGTACTACAAGAGGACGAGAGCTAAACACAGACATTTCAATTGCAAAAAAAAAGGAGACATATTTGCTCCCAATATTTGATCAAGTTCTCCGGGTTTTACATCAACAATTGCAAATATACACTGCAAACGGCACGCAATATTCACAACCTTACCATAACGGTCATATTTCCCATCATGATTTAAGTCGCGACGCACTCCTGGCGATCTCGATCAATCTTGCGGAAAAGATTTTATGCTGGGATTTTGTTAGCAAGAATGATTCTTTGTTAGCCGGCACATTTTCTGATGATAAGGATGATATTATAGAGGATGAATTGTTTATAACAGCAAAGACGCGCGAATTTCCCGCTAGCTGGAGAGGACACATGATGCACGGTGAAGTTCTGAGATTGTTTTTTAGGGTAATACTAATTATCTTTCAGTCAACAATTAATCTCTCGTTCACATTTGTCAATGAGTGATCAATTTATTTATTTATTTATTAATCAGCTGTATAAAGCCATTCAGAAGACAGAAATATTGGCTAATCGTTGCAGGCAGTGTTTGATCCAGATTTCTGGTTTGCATGGGGCCATTTTTGAGTCTGAACAACAAATAATTGATTACGCGGTTATAATGAAACAGGAAATACTCGATCTAATTAACAAGTAAGGTTGCATCTATGTGACGTTGAATTTCTTTGAGATAAACTTTAACCCTTTCAACAGTCTCTCGAGCAATATAACAGAAAGGCTTGCGTCACCTGAATATGGGCCAAGTCTTCTCGGTATTTCGCAAATGACGCGAAGACTTTTATGCACCATTCCTTTGCCAACGTTGTGTAGCGTGCCAGAGTTTCAAAATTTTCTTCATGAAATTGCACAATTAACCGCAACCTGCTTGAGGGAAAGTGCAACTGTTAAAGATGGTTATGGATATCTGGTCGAGGACAGCACTTGGAGTTTAGAAGCTTTTGATGAATTTTTGGCGGTCTGGGTTAAATTAGGTGTGATAGATGCTTCGACTATTTCATAAACGTATTCGTGACATAAAAAATTTATTCGATTGCTTTCACAATTAGCTCAGGAAGCACAATCTTATCAGAACCAATACGAAAATCAGACAATGTCATCGTTCAATCCTGCAGTATTTATGGCTTTTCTGGGAGAAGCAAGTTATCACATCACTGCAACTTACATTGATACTCGCATGGAGATGGCAGGATGCTCTAATGACGAAGACGAGGAGATCAACAATTTCAAAGATTGGGTAGGCAATTGTGCAAAGAAAAGCTTCGATGTTCCCTCACCATATATATATCCATCTAACCATAGATCATATTTAACTAGATCACATACGAGGACCAGTTGATTAGTATCGCGATACTGGCGCGAATTGTTGGTCAGAGGGTTTTGGATAAACTCCAGGTTCTATTGCACGAGCGTGCTGCACAATTGAGAGCATTTTTCATGGCGGTCGCGGACAACAAGAGCTCCGTCTTTGCTGGTATTTTTTTTTTAGGTTACAGCTATAGGTATCTTTATTCGCTGATATTTATACAAACATATATATATACAAATTATTTAATTACATTTTTTGAAGCCGATTGTACAATTATGTATCTTCAAGAATCAATTCATTGGCTGATTCTGATATCTGCTTTTGTGCTGGCCGATGCCGGTGAAGGCGAACAGCCCCTTGTTCCAAATGACTTGATGCAACTATCAATGTCTCAGGTTAGGGTCATGTCTTTTGGTTACATTTTCCCCCGATCCTTCTGTTCTCTGCATTCAACTTTTCTTATTTGGTTCTAGAGTAATCTCGGGAAAAATCATGATCAAATCGTGTTACTTGTAAACACAATTTCCGGAATCCTAGACCTCGTGTCTTTAGATACCTCCGCTATTGAGGTTTTTGTTTTGCTTTTTTTTTTTTTTTTTTTTTTTTTTTGATGATGCATCAACAGGATTCCGAAAAATACATGCCCTCACACTTTTTCGCTGGTATCACTTCCATAGACATCTCATTGCAGTCCTCGTGTGGCGGAAACACTGTTTTGGTTCTTCGAACGGTGGGGAAAGACTTATCTCCTAATCGACGAGTCAGATTATTTATTCGTAAGGTAGCTCTCGACTTCTGAAACGCACTGATGGTGAAGTGGATCTCGTGCATATAATAATATTTTGCTGATTGAAAAAGCGATAATATAGTTCGTGCATTTGGGAAGCCCGAATCTCAAGGAGAAGGACTCCGCATACTGGAGTACCTTATTGGCAAAATTAAGATCAATTTTATCCTTTGGAATAGCGATCCTGGTCCTTTATCGCAGGTTCATATATTATTTTCATCTATCTCGCCAATGCCTCACATTCTCACGTTTATCCTTCTTGCACGAAAATAGATTGAAAGGTTGCTAAACTCCTTTGGCAAGAAGACAGCATTAAGAAATGGCTTGCTACAATCCAGTAAATATGACATATAGTAAATCCAAGACATTATATGTTATGCGTGTATCCATTCGCTCTGATCTTTGGCTTTTGCAGGCAACTTTCCAGACTTACTCACTTTTTTCACCGGAAATCTCGATCATTTCCCGCAGATGATTCACAAGTATGCCTTTCTCAACCATTTTTCGATCCTTTTTTTTTTTTTTTTCGAGAATATTTACTCATTTTCTTGTGGAATCGTTTTTTTGAAAAAAGCTCTTTAATTCAGACGATGGCCATAATAACTTCCGGTGCTTCCGACGAAGAATTGAAGCACCATTATTTTCAGATGATTACGAGTGCCATCGAGGTTGATTACTTAAATTTCATATTAAAAAGTCAATTTTGCATGGCGTACTCATTTCTACCGGTTCCAATAGAAACGTTTCTTGACCGTGTTACAACGACCAGATTTCGATAGCGTTTATCAGCAAGCCGATGTCATGGCGGAAGTTCAAAATGCCCTGGAGGTGGTGTCGGCAATATTCTTATGGTAGAAGTCGTAGTTTTCACTGCGGATTGCTAATATTTGTGTGTGTCATTAGATGTTTGATGGTCTCGCGTTAGCATCGGATATTTCCAACACCGAGCTCATATACTCATTTTGTTCAAAGTACTTCGATTTCATGGTGAAACTATTGCATTATTACCAAAATTGTCCCGAGGTTGGATTTCTCGTGTTACAATTCTTCAATTCGTTTGTGACATATCAAGATTTTGGATCATTGTCCGCGGAGCACTCGAAGTACATATATCAGACCATGGTGAACTTATTTAAAACCTATGCCTTGGCAAATTTGGGTGTGCATTTTTTTTTCCCTCACGCACCGTACTTTACGTGCAGTGATTTAATGGGTGACTGATCATTTAAACCTTTTAGGAAAGAAACGAATTGAATCTACAGAGGAGGCCGAGGAGGAACCATACGCTGATATTTCGATAATGCTGGATATGCTTTCTGGAATTATGGCGTCGGAATTTCGCGAATACCGTAGGTTTCTTACGCGATTCTCGTTCCATGTCATTGTGCCGTTAACCTGATCAATCATCTATCGTTAAAGTATACGACGACGCACAAAAGAATCAAGCAACAACCGAATTTGACGTCCCAAGTGTCGTTCTCTACGGTGTCGATTTCATAATACCCACAATTAACACAAGCATGTTGAAGGTAAGTAAGATTCAATTTGCCCTTTGCTTCCGGGCATTCAACTGTATTATGTCGGCACTGACCAAGGTTGGAATTGAAATTTGAATTACATACAGATTCCCAAAATATGCAAAGAATATATGCGGTTGGTTTCATATTTGGTAGAGTTTTATCCTGATAAGCTGGGAAGCCTTTCTGCGGATTCTCAAAGAAATTTATATGCTTCACTGGAGTACGGAATTGAGAAATATCCTTAAATTTAATCAAATCAATAAATCACTCGTCCCATTGCAATCATCTTCAACCGATCGATCGATCTCCTTAACTGATACCCACTCCTATATACGAAGTGTCTCGCTTAGCATATCAGGCCATCACACCTTTAGCATTGTTTGCGCATAACGAAGAGCGTAAGAAGGGAAGGGCTGTTGTGCAGTATTTATATGCACCACTCGATAGATTGTTGCACATCGTACTTGAATGCTTTTTATTCAAGGATTTCGAAGCCGATCTATTGGAGCCAGCATCGGAAACATTGGTGGCGTTAATATGCGCTCGAAGGGTAATCATCACGACCTTCTATTTTGAATCTTGACATGAATCTCCCAGTAGACTTCTTATCATTCAAATTATTCAGGAATCGTACAACACATTGGTGCAAACTCTAATATCGCAACAAACCACACCCGGAATTCAGAGTCGACTCCACGATGCCTTTTCTGTATTATCGGCGGCGATCCCACAAACACTTCCCGAGGTGATAATTCAGCGAAGGGACGTTTCTGGATTTCGAGAAGTTCTGTTTAGGTTCTTGATGAATGTCCGAGGGTTTTTACGGGTAAAATAATTATTGGTAAATGTGACGACACAAATATATTAGTTTGTCGCAATTTTTTAAATTTATGTGTTAGCCTACTTTATAATGCTAATTGTTATAGATAAATTATTGTCAACTTCGTAATATTGAATTATTCATCACAATGAAAAAATTTTCTTCGTTGCTCAAGATGCACAAAATTTGCAGAACGACTACTACCTTAATGCAACGCGCGCCAATTTATCAGAAGTGAAAATAGCGTCGCGTCTGATATATCAGCTTTGATCCAGGACATAATACGTGCAAAAATTTCAAACTTCTTTGTAATGTTGATTGATTATTTAAGCTTCAATAATAATAAAGTTTTATTCACCTTTGCGCTTTAATTAAATATGTGATATAAAGGATGTATATATTCTTTATATTATAATCAACGAATTATCGAGTTAGAAAGAATTGTTAACCAAATGAGTGACAGTTTTTTTTTTTTTTTAAAAAAAAAAAAAAGATAGAAATGACAGGAATGTTAAGTAAGCAAGCAATTGGTCGATTCTAATCTATCCTGTTAGTTAAAAAAAAAAAATGATAAAACAGCGTCCAGAAGAAAGATAGTTACATACATACATACATACATACATACATACATACATACATACAATAGCAATAAATTTCGATTTACAAAAATATACATATAGGTGTATGCGCGATGGATCAATTGAAATATTTATAAGTAAAACCGCGAATTCAACAAAACCCATTATTTGTCTCCCTTCGTCTTTTCTCCTTTATTCATCAAAGTCGTCATAATTATTCAACACCATTTCCAAATCTCCCCACGCTTCATCATACTTGTCATTATCCCGGAGTATGGAACTCCTCTCACACAATGCTAGTGAAATGTATGGATCTATGCTCAACGCTTTGTTCAAATCGTCTAATGCATCATCCGTCTTTCCCAACTTCCTCATTATTGCTCCTCGATAGCATAATGCCATTGCGCGAACTTTTGCTTCCTCCGACGTGCCCAAAGAGGATGAGCCATCAACTATCTGATTATTTTCATTTATGATTTCGAATCGAGCGACATTCTTATTATTTCCATCTTCAAGATCGAATTGGGTCTCTGGTGGCGGTATGCAAATTGCTGCATTCAAATCATACAATGCATCTTCAAATTTCCCTTGTTCCCGTAGTATCCCACCTCTCACCACGAGCAACCACCGCTTGTCTCCGGGCTTATTGTCAATTCCATCTTTCAGATCATTCAATGCCTTCTCATGATTTCCTAATCGTTGATCCACCTCAGCTCTTAATCCGATGACCTCAACGTCATTTCCGTCCACCTCCAACAGTTTATTAAAATCTTTGAGCGCCTCTTCATACCTACACATTTTCACCAGCATTCTTCCACGGAATTTCAGTGCCTGAGCATCTTGCGGTACCAACTTGATTATATTGCTCAAATCGTTAATGCAATCCTGGAATTTTTTCAATCTTTCGTTCAACTCGGCCCTCTTTGCCAACATCGGGGTGTTGTTCGGTTCGGCTGCCAGTATGCGGTCTACATCGACTCGCGATCTTTCAAATTCCTTCATTCTTTCAAGGATCAATGACCTCAGTTTAAGCGATTTCAAGTCTTCTTCGTATTCTAGAGATTTATTCAGATCATGAAGAGCAAGTTCTAATTCGGATAGAAGATAATAGGTCTCTCCACGATTGTAGTAGATTTTTGGATTCGACGGTTTCTTCTTGAGAACTTCGTTGAAGTCAACAATGGCTTCCCGATATCTTCCGAGCTTTGAATAGGATATACCGCGATATTTCAATGCCGACACGTGGGATTCATTTTCCATAGACATGGATCGGTCAAGATCTGCAACGGCTTTGTCGAATTCATTCAGTAAAGTGTACACCTTACCACGGTTTCTATATAGTCTAGAATTGTGAGGCGCTACCTTTATGGCTTCACATAGATCGGCTAGAGATAGGTTATAGTTTCCCTGGATTCGATTTACCTTTGAACGAATTAATAAGGCCATGAAATTTTGAGGTTGATATTTGATGGCAAGATTGAGGTCTCTTAGAGCTTCATCATATCGTTCCATCAAGAGGAATACGCCTCCTCTCTCGGTGAGGGCGTTGCTGTTTTGAGGATTTACCTTCAGTGCTTTGTTTAATCCATTTAATGCTTTGTCGAATCTTGGGAGGGAAAAACGACGGGTTATCATTCGTAATTAGCATCAGGGTGTACGAAAGCATGATATCGAGCGATGCACAAACTTACTGTTTACTTCGGGAAAAGATCTTGTTCCTCAATTCTTCAGCAATCGAATCATGTGGATCAAGCTCCAGTGCACGGTTTGCATCTTTCATAGATAATTCCATCTGTTTCAGTGTAAAATATACTTGTGATCGATGTCTGTAGGTGGTCGACTTTGATTCTATGGCCAGTGCGTTGGTGAGATCCATCAGCGCTTCTTTGAATCTATACAATTCTTTATAAGCCAGTCCGCGATTCCTCAATATTTTCACATTGGAATTTACATTATTGACCTTTGGTGATCTCTCAATCCTCTCAAAGTCAGCCAACGCTTCTGCATATTTTTCCTTTAATATATTACGAACGTGAAAGTTATAACAGAGCGTTACAACATTTAAATGCGGCGCTGGTACTAGATCCCACAGACACTTGGGTTTTGTACAAACGAAGTCGGATTAGTTTTAATCGAAAAGATTATAATCGTGCATTAACGGACCTAAATACTTTGATAAATATTGAGATGGTTTCAATTAAGCTCAGCGTAGAGTTGAGATACGATGCATTTGAATTGCGCGGAACGGTGCATAAAAAATTAAAACAGTACGATGAAATGAGTTTGTTTATTATCTGATATTCACCAACAGATTGATTAATGTGGTGATGATTTTGCCGCAAGTCCACTGTTGCTATTATCGGAAGGTGTGGGTGACAGAAAGTGTTTATAAAAGAAGAAGAATCAAATTTGAGGGAGAGAATGCTAACTAGTATGAAGGAGATTTCTTAATATTCTATTTGTATTCTACCAACTTCTCTTTGACAAATAATCATTTCCTCTCTATATATGTGAGAATAATAAATGAATGGATGAATAAAATAGGTGACCCTAAAATAGAGTTGTATTCTTGTTTAATACATAAAAAAAGGAAATCTCTCTTATGCAGTAGTCTTGTGGCGTACGTAATCAAAAAGGAAATGGGAAGGAATAAAGAGGGAAATCATCAAGTGAAGAGAAGGAATAAATGATTTGACGTTATTTATGTAGATGAATAAGGATTGTGACAATAAAATTGAAATAAAATACTCCAGTGTGTATTAGATTCATACGTACATAAGAATTTTCTCGGTGTTTCACTTTCTATGGAACAGTGGTGTGCAATCGAACGTTACTCTACCTCGTTTTCCTGAATGCATGAAAAATATTATTCGCAGAATTACACAGATAATAATAATACGGCCCAAATCCTAATCTCAAACTCCGAAGTATTATAATGATCTCGACCGTTAAGAGTAAGGCATGTACGCCACATCCTTTTCAGGAATTTTCCTGGATCAAGGTAACATTATTTACTACAAATTAAAAGATATACAGGGTTCTCCGTCTCTCATTGGTAATTTACACCGGCGGATTACGTAATAATATATCCGGACATCAAGACATTTTTCTATACATACTCCGTGCAATTCACGGTATGGTGCATCAGTAGATGCCGATTAGTAAAATTAACGGACTGCGAGTATGTTTTGTTGTTTGATGTTTGGAATCACCTGGTCACCATGTTTTCAGATGCTATGATCTAAATCCGTTCGAATATCACGTATTGATTTAGATATAAAAAATATTTAATTTCAAATCAATACAATCAATCAATACGCATATAAAATTAATTTTTTTTAAATTTGCAAGTAAAATTATTATTATTATTATTATTATTATTAT